ACCATGGCATTCACCACGAAGCTGTCGTAGCTTCATAGCTAAGATGCCAGCTTCTTTAACTAGTTTGAGCTCATTGGAAGAACTAAATCTTAGTTATTGTGATTTGTCAGAAGCTGCAAGTTCCATTGATCTTGGGAGTTTGTCCTTTCTTAAAATTTTTGAGATTTTCAGGAAACAAATTCTTCAATTTGCCTTCTGGCATTGGCCGCCTTCCGAAGCTTTCTTATTTGTCGATGGACCATTGCTATAATCTTTTATCAATTTCAGAGATTCCATCAAGTGTATGCAACTTGTGTTTGTATCAATGCCCTTCAATTGAACGAGTAAGAATGCCAATTGAGCACGAAGGAATGCAAAGTGTATTTGTAAATGGGTGCAAAAATTTAATAGAGATTCAGGGCATGGAAGATGCGGGCAGTGACTGGCTTAATTTGGACTTACATGACTGCCACAATGTATCAAATAACTTTAAGAAGACCCTACTTCAGGTACTCTCTCTTTCTCTGTCTCTTGCACTTACAAGCAATTATTCGAACTAAATTTTAATTAGCTTTCCTTGAAACCAATAGGGAGTGTGCAAAGGTAAAAATTATTACATTTGCCTTGCTGGCGGTGAGATACTAGAATGGTTTAGCCATCGTGGAGAAGGATCTCCTTTGCCATTTCGTCTGCCTCCAGTTTCAGATGGTAGTCAACTCAAAGCGCTACTTCTTTGGGCTGTCTTCGATTCGACTTCAAACAGCTTTATCTTTAATAGTAAGAAAATATTTTTTTTAAAAAAAAATTTAATTAATTCATTTCTCAAAACTAAATGCACTAACTTATGATTAATTTACTCCTCTTTCTGCTAACATCCTATTGTGTGTCTTAATTTTGTTGCTCATGCTTTCTCTAGCTAGAACTGTGTGCCCCTCCCAATTGATCCTTGCTTGATATACCTTTATACTGCTTTCTTCTTGGAAGTATTGCATATTTAAGAGTTCTCGAGACCTATTTTGGTGCTATATATGCTCTCATTTTTGTGGTAGCTCGTGTATCTTCTTTGAGCGTCTGTTATTTCTTGATTTTGGTGTTCTTTCTCTTCCCTTCTTGTTTGATCCTTCTTCACCTTGGATGCTTTTCCCAAGTTATATATGTATAGAAAAGAAATGCTTTGCATTCATCACATTAATAAATTATTATAATATTAATCACACAAACTCTTATGCTTAATTTTTCGTAGAGATATATAAGCTACTATTTGGTCTTTTGAATAAATGAAAATAATCATTTATAAAATTTAAAAGAAAAAAATCTTAAGCTAAACAAGTGGATACTAAATTGCTCTCAATAGAACTTAATTATGAAAGATTTAATGCTTAGTTAATAGAGATTTTTTTTTATTTTTTTCCATCGGAAGGTCCATTTGAACTTAATTTAAGCTACAAAATGGGATATATTTTTTATTATATAATTAATAAATGAATCAAAGTTATTAAAATTTAATTAAATCTCTTTCACTAAATAAAGATACAAGATATACTGTAGTTGAGTTAGGCCTCTTTGTATATATTTATTTATTTATTTTATTATTACAATAAATTATTATGAATTGCTTTTAATGAAGCTAGACCAAGATCGAATTGAGATATATATATATATATTCTACATCATTATAGATATTCTTTTTATTTATGATTTCTAGGAACAATTGACCAACGCTTTGTCGTCCATCACATCTTCAATTACCCAAGCATGTGCAGAGTACGAAGATCCTCCATCCATCAAGGCTTTCTGGCTTCGTTCACTCATCTTCTTCACTTTCTTTCTGATCTCACTTTCTTTATAGCCTTGGTAAAAAGGACAAAAGCACCATCTTAACTTTCTAAAAAAGTTTTTATTTGGATAGAAATTGCATGCAATTTTTCTTCCATGCACCTCCTTTGTTTGCTTCCAAAGAGGTTGAACGTGCATGAGAAAGAAAACGGCATTGCATAAAAAAAAAAAAAAAAAACAACAACAACTTCGGAAAAATGAAAACATGTTTTCTGAATCTTAAAATGCTACATTATGATAGCTAGCTTGAGGCTATGTTCTTCATCATGTCTTCTATCAGAAGATGTAAAGCAGAGCACGAAGATCCATTTTCCATCAAAGCTTTCCTGCTTAGTTGACTCATTTCTTTTACTTTATTTCTTATCTCACTATCTTGCTCCATTACGAACTTCACTCTTTCTTTAATATCGTCGGAGCTCACAATTACTTCAGTACTTCCATCCAAGAAAGCATCCTTCCTGTGATCTATTTTAATCTCCACTGCTAATCCCAACTCGATTACCATTTGAAAAGCATTCAATTGTTGCTCTGCGTACAATGGCCATGCCGCAATCGGGACACCAAATAAAATACTTTCCAGTATAGAATTCCATCCACAGTGGGATACAAACCCTCCCACAGCTTTGTGGGCTAAAATTTCTACTTGTGGAGCCCATCCAATCACCTTGCCTGTTTCAACCGTCCGATCCAGAAACCCTAGGGGTAAAATTTCTTGAAAATTTACGTAGTCACTTGGTGATTCAATCTTAGCTTTGGAAGAAGAAGGTTTCCGTAGACACCACAAGAATCGATGTCCACACTGCTCCAGTGCACACGCAATCTCTTTTACTTGATCAGCACTGAAACTTCCCCAGCTCCCGAAGCATATAAACAGTACTGATGATGGAGGCTGATCATCGAGCCATTGCATGATGTCTTTATAATCGTTGATTCGATCCGATCCAAAATCGTAGTCATTTCCTTGACGTCTCACAATTGGTCCCACTGGATATACTGGAGGGATTTCACCATTAGAAAGAGATTCAACCGCATGTGATTCAAACTCTTTAAATGTATTTATCACGATACCCCTCGTCTTCCTCAACCTTCTTGCAGCGTCAAGAAAAGCAGGGAACGCCTGTCTGTTAAGCACAGTTGAAGGCAGGAGCTTAGCAGGGAACCGGTTCACCAGACTTGGAATTTCCAACTCAGCATCCGAGTTTTCGAACTCAAAGAGATCCACTTTCTGCTCATCATGAAGGGCCTGGAGATGCAGGATGGAACCAATAAAAGCTGCACCTGATGCAGAGAAGACATACCAGGGAACACCAAATTCTTCAGCCAAATCTTCCATTCCCAATACAAAAGTATCGAAAACAAACCCAGCAAGTCGAGGAGAGTCTGGGCTCAACTCTGACTGAGTCTTGATCCTGGAAACAAATTCTTTGACATAGGGTTTTTGGGCTTCAGACAGAGAAGCCATCCAGTCACCGCCAGTATTAGATACTGCAGTCTGATCAAAACTTGGTAAGTCAACGACTCGCATGCCATTGGGTAGAGTTGATGCACTGAGTGACTCAGTGTATTTGGTAGTACTGGGGTCAAGAGCTGGATGCATGATGAGGACACTTGTTGAAACTCGATCTCCACGTTCAACAATAAGCTTAGCCATCTCTACTGCAGCTATAACATGGCCCATTGCAGGTAATGGGATGAACACTACCTCTGCTTTCTTCATCTTTTTTTGTTTTTTTGCCAAGTTATTGTTTATTCTCTGTTTGAATGATTTCCGTACTTATAACCGTAATCGATTGTAGAAGAAAATGAATTTCACGAATTTTTTATTTGTAATAATGGAGGCCAAAATTTAGACCTTTACGCCTTGGCTTTGCTGGCTGTGAATTTTTCAAGTATCAGACAAGATGGGATTAGTAACTGCCAAACTTGCTCATCACGGAATGATTCTGTGTGGTGCATAGGGTCCAATTTCGGAACTTGCAACTTAGAGCAGTGTTGACAATGGTCAATTTACTTGGGCTGGAAGAAACTCTTCCAATCTATAACATTTTGCAGCCAACGAGATTAAATTTTATTTCCAGATGATCTTAAGGATTCATCCCTCAATCTCATCTTGGTTTCGTGTATTTAAAAAAATTTATTAAATTCTTTTAGTTATTAATTCTTTTAACCATTAGACCAATCCATTGAGTTATCTTTTGAAAATTAAAGAGATAATAGACAAATCCATTTAAACAAAGTAATTTGATTAAATAATAATAATAATAATAATAATAATAATAACAGCAATCTGATAATGGATAAAAATGAGTTGCTTAACTTTTGAGAGTAAAATGCATTTTTTCTATATATATAAAGGTTTAAAGGTATATTATCTTCTACTTCAAAAAATAGGAAAAGTGATACTTTATTTTTTAGATAAAAGACTGTTTATTTTGTTTGAAAAAAAAAATCTTAAATCATAACAATACTAATGCTCTATATTTCATTTTAATATATAGTTTTTATACAAGTATTTAAAAAATTATTATATGATGTTTGATTCTTCTTTTTTACCTTATATTATTCATGATTTTTTTTATTTTAACTATGAAAGTACTTTCATGTATCAAGTAATTTATTTTTATTTTTTTAATAAAAATCATGAAGTTATTTCTTTAATAGTAATTTTAATTCAAACAACACAATAATAAATTATCAAATATTTAATTAGTTTTACTCACATCACAATACATAATTTTAATGGTTTTTTTTCTCTAGTAGTTGTGAACTTGGTCCAATTACTGATAAATATTTGATGTGTTTCTTGGTACCAATTTCTTGGTTTAAATTATGCCACTATCTCTTATTGAGGTGACGTATTTATCTTAAAGATAATGTAATCAATATAATCAAATAAAAAAACATTAAAGTTCAAATTCTTAATTGAAAAAATATTAAAAATTGGTATACTTGTATTGCAATTATCCCAATAATCAACCATTAAAATGTAGTATTTTAATTTGTTTGTACTGACTGTAATGGTCAACCCAACTTCGTACTTATTCTTTTTTTTTTTTTTGGACTATCTTCGTACCTATTTTCATTGACTTGAAAAATAAAAGAAACTTTTAATGATTTGGTAAAATTTAGACTTTTACGAATCCGACAGGATAGGATTAGTCCCCGCCAAACTTTCTAATCACGGAATGGTCCAAGTTGGTCAAATTTTCATGAGGATGGACCGCTACAGGAGTGTCGACAATGGTCAATTTACTTGTCCAGGAGGAAACCTTCTTCCTAACCATATGTATTGTGATATTACACTACCATGTGCCATCAACAATATATCATTTATGTTTTAAATAAATATTTTCTCCTACCAATTTTGTTTTGTTGATAAATCTTTTTTTTTTCATTTTTCTTTTAATTAACAAGTTTTTTTTTTCACACATTTCATTTGAATACAAACTCATATAAAAAGAAATTAATGTCTTTTTAAGATACCTTTTTATTCAAAACTAAAGAGTATTCTCCAATAAATTTTCATGTAAACTAAAATTATATCTCTTCTTCAAATGATTTTAAGGATTCACCCTCAACCTTACATCAGTTTGGTGCATTTAGAATAACGTATTAATTTTTTTAAGGTTTTGTCCCAAAATTTGAATCCAAAAAATTAAAAAAGAAAAACTATTTTAACCCAAAAAAAAAAAAATAGCATAACTATTTTAACCATCAGGCTATCCCTAAGGTTATCTTTTGAAAATTACGAAGATAATAGACTTTTTTTTTTTTTGGAGAAAGAAGGAGATAATTAATTGAAAAAAAATCAGATGCTTAACTTATGAGGTTGAAATGTACATATAAAAAATAAGATATATTAACTCCTAATTCAAAAAGTACGAGAATTGATGCTTTATTTTGAGGTGAAAGACGGTTTATTTTCTTTAAAAAAAATAATCTTAAATCATAACAATAGTACTAATGTTCTATATTTTATCTTAATAACCTTAATTAAATCATTGCAATACTAATGTTTTTATATTTTATTTTGATATATAGTTTTCATTTCACACTTTTTCTGACTTCACTATCCTTCTGCATTAGACCATTTATTTCTTTCATTATATCTTGATAAAACCTAATGTATATTTAAAGATAAAATTAATTCAATTAAAAATATAAGAAGGTTCACAATTATTGAAAAAAAATTGAAACTCATTTGGCATGTTATTGACATTTTAATTAAGATTCAAAAGATATTTTTGTTCTTCCATGTCAACCGCATGTAATAAAGAAACTTTGGAACGCCATCAAAGAGAATAAAGAGAGCTTCCACTGATATTATGAAGATGATGACCTTGAAGTTGAATTAAAAGAGTTTGTGAAAAATAGTTTTGTTGGATGCTGCATTCATCTTGGAGTAATTGTTAAGGTATGAAGATATAGAAAAATACAAAGATAATTCTATGTTGAGTAAAATAAGGTTTTGGATTCGATATTGGGACTTAATCTTGCTTGAGAATCAGTTGCCATTATTCATTCTTGAGAAATTTTATGACCATCTTGTTGAAGATGGCCAAGGAAATTATACTCCTTTTCGAGATCTTGCCTACTACATTTCACATCTGATTTGGTCAAATCTTTATTCCCAACAAAATCTGACAACTCGATCATATGTCAAAAACCATGTCAATCCCAAATTTTAAATTATTAGATAAGATTTCATGATATAATTTATTACTCTTTACACACTCTTTTTATGTAAAAAAAAATATATATATATATCTCAACTCAAAAATTTAAACTATTAAATAAATCTCTAAAATATGATTTACATATATACATTCTTTATCTTAAGCCAAAATTGGATTATTTTTCATTTTTTTATTTTTTTTTACTCTTTATATTTACATATAGTATTTTTAAATTAACTTTTACATCAATAGATTAAATCTTTCAAAATTAAATCCATTACTTTTTGAGCTAGAGTCTAAGCCGAGCCAAATAATGTTTAATTTTTGACCAATTTTAAAGACTAGACTCTTGAAGTCCACTAATAACTAATGTCCGGTTCTATATAAAAGAGAGGAAGGAGGAAACACATATCGAGTATCACACCAAAAAGAAAAATAAACTTTTCAAAGATGAGAATCTAACTCTAAATTGAAAAAAAAAAAATTTCCCTATTCTGCCCACAACCTTATATGGTTTTGATCTTTTTTTTTTTTTAGTTATGAGAATAAAGAAGAAAACTAATGCAAAAAGGAGCAAACCAAGAAGCAAATGCAAAAGAACAGAACCTATAATAAAGAGGCCTTTAAAATGAAGGCCCAACAAAAACCCATTATTGATGATGCGAATAAAAGGGTCAACGTAAAACTAGAAAGTCCGGGGGCGAGAGGAAGAAATGGATAGGAAACATTCACTAAAGGCCCAATAATGGCCTATTTTGTTTATAAGTTTGAAGTCATCATCTAGTATTAAGGAACTAGAAACCTAAAAGTAGTATTGGTTCAAAGAATCTATGGTAAGGAGTTGGTTATAGTTTGGAAAGATATCAATCACCCAAAGATGTCCTTTCCTAAGAAAGGTACCGCGTCTAGTTTAGTCTTAAATTCATCTCCTAAAATATTTTATTTATGTCAATTTTTTTAAAACTAATTTTTAAAGCCAAATTCATTTTTTTAGTTATTGGGTGTGGTATAGTATTGAAACGATCGTCGATCCCCTCCGTCGGACAACAATTTGGCTCAAACATCAAATCCACCTTAAGCCTTGACACAACCGTTGTGTCGGAGGACATACTCGATTTATTAACTAATGATTTTTGATAACGACGAGTCCCTATCAAATAGAAGACCTCATCACGAAACGATAGTCCCTATCGAAGGAGACTTTGTTGGAAATTTTATTATTTTGGTAATGATGCTCTCTATCGGATAGGAGACCTCGTCACGAAACGACAGATCCCTATCACGAGGAGACTTCGTTGAGAATTTTATTTAAAAAAAATTGTAAGGAAAGATCTAAAAACATGTATAAAATAAACAAAGATTAAAATTACCTTGATTAAAATAATTACGGATAATTCTAAAATAAATATAAGTCGACGGACATGCAACCAATTTACAATGGTAATTACATTAATTAAAAATAATTGAAGATAATTAAATATCTAAATTAAAAATAAACACTAAGTATGCATAAAATCCATAATTTAAGTTATATTCAAACATTTTTATTTTTATTTAGGTCGGATCTGTAATCGATCCGACCTTTTTTGTTTTTAAGTGGCGAGTGGGTCAGGGCTAGATTAAGAATAGTCCGACCCCTTTTTTTGTTGTTTGTAGGAAGAACGGGCTGAGTTGGATTGAAATCAATCTAGCCTCCCTTTTTTTTTCTTTTCTTTTTTTCGGATTGGGCTTAAACCCGAAATAAGCCCGGACACGAAAAAACTCAAACAAATGGATCTAACAACATTCAAACCCTCTCTCTCCCTCCTCGTTCTTCGAGTTCATCATTTTCTCTCTCTAATTTCTAGTTTTCCCCGAATTGAAACCCCATTTAAGACAAATAATTTCGCTAACATGTCATTGCTCTATTCCTTTTTCAATAATAAACTAGGGCTGGAAACTTAAATCAATAAGTAAAAATCTTTGGTGGAGTAATCTACAAACGTTTCAAGACTAAAAAAAAAACTACCGACTTGGTGAATTTGATGATGGTTGTTCAAGGATTTATTCTAGGTGAATTAGAGATCCTTCGTTGGTTCGGGATAGTCAAATCACGTCTAGAATCCACAAATTAAAGTCGAAGTTCGAGTATTAGAATGAAACTAGAAAGTGGTCGATGAACATAAAAAAACGAACCCAAAAACTCAAGAACACCTTCAACGATTGCTTAGAAATTCAAGGAAGGAAATCTCGCAAGGGAAGAATTGACCCCAAAATTTTAAGGATTAAGGTTGACAAACCCGTAAGGATGGATGATTAACCCGGAAGAATACAAAACAAAGAACTAAAAGGCTAATAATTGAAGGAATGCAACCCGAAACCAAGAACATTCAACCTCAAAACCCAAAAAAACCCGGATGTGCAGGAGCTAACCAAAACCAATTTCGTGAATTCCAACCCTTTTTCTTTGCCTTTTTTTACTCTCCTTTCTCTCAAAATCCAACCTACCTCCTTTTCTCCTCCTCGAGATCTCGAATTCTTACCCCTTTTAGAGCCATTGTCAATTCAAGTTTCACTTCAATTCAAATATCTTCAAACTCGAATTTTTTAGCTATCCAATTTAAACTCAAACTTCGTTATTAACTTTGAATTTGATTAGCTAAATAATCGGGATATATTAAATCCAAAAAACGATTAGAGGATTAGGATAAATTTCAATTGAATTTTGGAGGAAATCGGGAGTGAAAATTTGGGTTGGAGTGAACGACAAGTTGTTCGCTCAATTTCATTCATGTCGTTCGCTCCAACCTTCTATTTTGGTCCCTGCGAATCTCAATTATCCGCAATCATGGCCATTTGCGCATAATTTCAGTCATGTAAAGAATAAGTTTTCTCAATTGGGTCCCTATGAATGGTAATTCAAGTACCGAATATCTTAATTGACTCGATTAGGCCCCTAAATACTTCAATTACACTTTCATTTGATGCAATTGTGTTCCTTGATGAAAATTTTGTATTTTTTATACATTTTTTTAATTATATAATTATCAAATTAATCAAAGTTATTAAATTTAATTAAATTTCTTTCACCAAATGAAGATACACTCGTAGTTGAGTTATGCCTCTTTGTACATATTTATTATTTTTTTATTATTACAATAAATTGTCATGAATTGCTTTTAATAAAGCTTAACCAAGATCGAATTGATATATATATATATATATATATATATATATATATATATATATATATATATATATATATATATATATATATATATATATATATCCTACATCATTATAGATATTCTTTTTATTTACGATTGCTAGGAACAATTGCCTCATGCTTTGTCGTCTATCACATCTTCAATTACCTGAGCCAATGCAGAGTACGAAGATCCTCCATCCATCAAGGCTTTATAAAAGTAAAAAGGCACCATCTTAGATTTCTAAAAAAAGTTTCCATTTGGATAGAAAGTGCAATTTTTCTTCCATGCACCTCCTTTATTTGCTTCCAAAGAGGTTGAACGTGCATGATAAAGAAAAAGGCATTGCATAAATTACACCAAAAAAAAAAAAAAAAAAAAAGGAAAAATACAGCACATGTTTTCTGAATCTTAAACTGCTTTGAATTAAATAAAGCTTAACCAAGATTTAAAATGCTACATTCTGATAGCTAGCTTGAGGCAATTGCCTTAGGCTATGTTCTTCATCATGTCTTCAATCAGAAGATCTAATGCAGAGTACGAAGATCCATTTTCCATCAAAGCTTTCCTGCTTAGTTGACTCATTTCTTTTACTTTATTTCTTATCTCACTATCTTGCTCCATTACGAACTTCACTCTTTCTTTAATATCGTCGGAGCTCACAATTACTTCAGTACTTCCATCCAAGAAAGCATCCTTCCTGTGATCTATTTTAATCTCCACTGCTAATCCCAACTCAATTACCATTTGAAAAGCATTTAATTGTTGCTCTGCGTATAATGGCCATGTCGCAATCGGGACACCAAATAAAACACTTTCCAGTGTAGAATTCCATCCACAGTGGGATACAAACCCTCCCACAGCTTTATGGGATAAAATTTCTACTTGTGGAGCCCATCCAATCACCTTGCCTGTTTCAACCGTCCGATCCAGAAACCCTAGGGGTAAAATTTCTTGGAAATTTACGTAGTCACTTGGTGATTCAATCTTAGACTTGGAAGAAGAAGGTTTCCGTAGACACCACAAGAATCGATGTCCACACTGCTCCAATGCACACGCAATCTCTTTCACTTGATCAGTACCGAAACTTCCCCAGCTCCCGAAGCATAAAAACAGTACTGATGATGGAGGCTGATCATCGAGCCATTGCATGGTGTCTTTATAATCGTTGATTCGATCCGATCTAAAATCATAGTCATTTCCTTGGCATCTCACAATTGGTCCCACTGGATATACTGGAGGGATTTCACCATTAGAAAGAGAGTCAACCGCATGTGATTCCAACTCTTTAAATGTATTTATCACGATACCCCTCGTCTTCCTCAACCTTCTTGCAGCGTCAAGAAAAGCAGGGAACAACTGTCCGTTAAACACGGTTGAAGGCAGGAGCTTAGCAGGGAACCGGTTCACCAGACTTGGAATTTCCAACTCAGCATCCGAGTTTTCGAACTCAAAGAGATCCACCTTCTGCTCATCATGAAGGTCCTGGAGATGCAGCATGCAGCCAATAAAAGCTGCACCTGATGCAGAGAAGACATACCAGGGAACACCAAATTCTTCAGCCAAATCTTCCATTCCCACAAGAGTATCAAAAACAAACCCAGCAAGTCGAGGAGAGTCTGGGCTCAACTCTGACTGAGTCTTGATCCTGGAAACAAATTCTTTGACATAGGGTTTTTGGGCTTCAGACAGAGAAGCCATCCAGTCACCGCCAGTATTAGATATTGCAGTGTGCTCTAAACTTGGTAAGTCAACGACTCGCATGCCATTGGGTAGAGTTGATGCACTGAGTGACTCAGTGTATTTGGTAGTACTGGGGTCAAGAGCTGGATGCATGATGAGGACACTTGTTGAAATTCGATCTCTACGTTCAACAATAAGCTTAGCTAGCTCTACTGCAGCTATAACGTGGCCCATTGCAGGTAATGGGATGAACACTACCTCTGCTTTCGTCATCCTAAGTTTTTTTTGCCAAGTGATTGTTTATGCTCTGTTTGAATGATTTGCGAACTTATAACGGTAATCGATTCTAGAAGAAAATGAATTTCACGAATTGTTTATTTGTAATAATGGGAGTCAAAATTTAGACTTTTACGTCATGGCTTTGCTGGCTGTGAATTTTTTTAAGTATTGGACAAGATGGGATCAGTAACCGCCAAACTTGCTCATCAAGGAATGATTTTGTGTGGGTCCAATTTCCGAACTTAGAGTGTTGACAATGGTCAATTTAATTACTTGGGCTGGAAGAAACTTCTTCCTATCTATAACAATGAACAAGATTTTTTTTTTTTTCAATTCAACAATAAGAAATAAGAAATAATCTCGAATCAATTTGCATTCAAAGAGATTAAATTTTATTTCCAGATGATCTTAAGGATTCATCCCTCAATCTCATCTTGGTTTTGTGTATTTAAAAAAAAATTATTAAATTCTTTTAGGTATTAACTCTTTTAACTCTTTTAACCGTTATACCAATGCATTGAGATATCTTTTGAAAAATTAAAGAGATAATAGACAAATCAATTTAAATAAAGTAATTTGATTAAATAATAATAACAACAACAATAATCTCATAATGGATACAAATTTAGTTGCTTAACTTTTGAGTTTAAATTGCATTTTTCTATATATATAAAGGTTTAAAGGTGTATTATTTCTTCTTCAAAAAATATGAAAAGTGATACTTTATTTTTTATATAGTTTATTTTGTTTGAAAAAACAAAGATAATCTTAAATCATAACAACACTAATGTTGTCTATTTTATCTTAATAACCTTAAAAATAGCACTACTAATGTTGTATATTTTATTTTAATATATAGTTTTATACGAGTATTTAAAAAATTATTATATGATGTTTGATTCTTTTTCTTTTTCTTTTTTTACTTATATTATTCATAATTTTTTTATTTTAACTATGAAAATACTTTCATGGATCAAGTAATTTATTTGTATTTTTTAATAAAAATTATGAAATTATTTCTTTAATAGTAATTTTAATTCAAACAAGACAATAATAAATTATCAAATATTTAATTAGTTTTACTCACATTACAACACATAATTTTATTATCAAATATTTTAATCATACACTGAAGGCCAACAGGTTCCAATTCGTTATTTGGCAATAACTTCTAATGGTTTTTTCTCTAGTAGTTGTTAACTTGGTCCAAATACTGATAAATATTTGATGTCTTTCTAGGTATTAATTTATTGGTTTAAATTATGTCACTATCTCTTATTGAGGTGACATATTTATCTTTAGGATAATATTCATGTTGTCGGGTAATGGAAAAAATTGATGAAAGTATTTAATTTACAGCTTTAAAAAAATTAATACAATCAAATGAAAAAAATATTAAAGTCTTTATACTTAATTGAGAAAATATTAAAAATTTGTATTCTTATATTGTAATTATCCCAATAATCAATCATAAAAATGTAGTATTTTAATTTGTTTGTACGAAAACTATAATGATCAATCCATCTTCAC